TGGCAAATGAAAGCACTCTGCTTTTATTGTCTTTATATGAAGATCATATTCCCAGATAGCACACGTACGTTTTAATGTCGTCATTTGAAGGTATTTTATCGTCTAAGACGTCATATGACCAATGGCATCCGTTTTAGTGACGACATTTGTGTTACCTTTTTTTGTCGTCTTTTAATAACGACATTTTGTCGTACTCTAAACGTTTTATTTTTTATCGAACTAGAGATGCATCGCTTATAATTCATATTGAAACTTGAAACTTTGACATATGCCTGGCGTCGCCGCCTCTCCCAGGATTTAGTCAACTGTCGTGAGGATGCGTTCCTGGTAGACACTATCAGGGACGTTTCACCACTACTTTGTTGCCATCGCGCTGGGCCGCGACATATGCCAAACAGTGTGGTGGATTTTGTGGATTGGGGGGGTTGTGGGGGGGGCGGCTAACTGGGTGTTATCCGACCCGAACGGGTACGGCCACAGCTTCGCCACTGGTATTCTGCCTTAGAGGGAACTCTGCTTTCTAGTGATAGCTTCTTATCCGGGCGTTCATTGGCTTCCGATGTTCCTATCCTTTGGTCTCGTTCCCTTCCCGGTTTTCCCTCGTGTTAGGCCCTTTTTATTGTTGTCCTCTCCCTGCGTTACTTTCTGTCCCCTTTTCCTCCTCCCCTTGGCTTCTTCCTCCACTTCCAGTATTCTTCTGCTTTCTTTCTTCCTTGATGTGTGTCTTTGCTCTTTGCTTCCCATCTTCCTATGGTAATCCCCGAGACCTCTACCGTTTGGTTTATGGTGGTGCTCCATGTGTGGCAGGGTCGGCGTACCTTCCATTCCGAAGCACACAGAATCTTGGCAGCCCGTATGATATGGTCTTTGTTCCTCTTATTGGTATGTCCAGTATCTCATCTGAATCATCTTCAGTCTCCTGGTAATCGTCTTTCTTTCTAGTAGTTCTCTTCTCTGCTTTCTTGTGAGGTTGCTGTTTTCTTCAGTATCCTGAGTGCCTTCCACTCCGCCCTCCTCAATGTTCGTCTGTTGCTCCTTGTTAGCGCTGAAGTGTTAATTCCGTATAACATTGTCGGTGCTATGTTCGTGTTGTAAATCATCATTTTCCAGCTGCCCGGTATTTTCTTCTCTCGTAAGAAGTTCCAGATTCCGTGTGTGCTTCTGAATGCGTTGGTTATTCTGTCTTGCACTGCGTTGTGCCTGCTGAGGGTGCTGCTTATGTACGTTCCCAGATATTTGATCTTGTGCTTCATGGTTATCTCCTTCTCGGCTATTATGGTCTTCTCTCCTTCTTTGTACTGGGGGTGTTGTTTCTTGGCACTCTTATCATCATGTAGCTCTTTTCGTTGTGTATTTGTAGGTCCACCATTTCCAGGTGTACCTGGTACTACGCTGGCCTAGACGAAGTCCTCAGTGTCTTATAAATTATCCGGGATTACGAATAGATCGTCCGCGTACGCCAGTAATGTCGGTAGTAGTAATTGGCCGCCTGTGCTAAGGTTCGTCACCACCATCCTTTTTTGTTCTATAGCACGGTCAAGTGCTATCGCGAAGAGCCTTGGGGAAACGGACATCCTTGTTTGAACCCCCTGGTTTTTTGGTGTTCGGTTTTCTTCCAAAACCATTGTATACTAGTATACTCCCTTTGCCACGCGTTTATGGTTCTGTTGATTAGGAATTTGGGTAGTTCCAGCATCGCCCACGCTGTCATTGGTATATTATTTTCCCCCTTGTTTCCTTCTTTTGTTGTTTTTGATGTGCCTATACCATTACATTTGCATATTCCTCTTCAATGGTCTGAATTTGGCGATCTTCTCCGCGAACACGGCGAATTCCTTGATTTCGTGTTGCTCATAGACTCCGTTTTCTTCTTCCTTGGCTTCCCTTAGCTCCTTCTTTGTTTCAGGTTAGTGTGGGTTTTGGCCCGCTTTCTGTTCGGTCACATGGGCGTTTCTGTTTCCCTAGTGTATTCTTTGTTGTTTCTTTGAGCGTTTCGCCGATCTTTTCCGATATGGTATCCCTTCCCCCTTTTTGCTTCTAATCTCTTACTGCTCCTTTCGGTGCTCCTTTCTTTTCTTCTCCCCTGACAGAAGTTTCACATCCCACCCTTCGGTTTCCCCGCTGTGCTCCTTGTCCTTTGTTCTCCCCCCTCCCTCTTGACTTTCCCCTTTACCGTTTTGTGGTCCGATCCTACTGTTTTTGCCCATATGTCTGCTGTGTTCCCTTCCTCCTCTTCACTTTCGTCCAGTCTGCCTAGTTGCGTACTGAAGCCGCCTAGTATGATACCTAGGTTCTTTCCGCACTTTTTTCTGTTGTTTCACTTCGATTTCTGAGTTCCGCCTGTCCTCTTTGCCCGAGGGGATGTCGATGCCTGTGATTGTTAGTCTTCCTATTTTCATCTTGATTTGGGCCATGGGCATACTCTTGCTTTTCCTTCAAATATCTCCACTCCAGGCCAGCGTAGTACCAGGTACACCTGGAAATGGTGGACCTACAAATACACAACGAAAAGAGCTACATGATGACAAGAGTGCCAAGAAACAACACCCCCAGTACAAAGAAGGAGAGAAGACCATAATAGCCGAGAAGGACACAAGATCAAATATCTGGGAACGTACATAAACAGCACCCTCAGCAGGCACAACACAGTGCAAGACAGAATAACCAACGCATTCAGAAGCACACACGGAATCTGGAACCTCTTACGAGAGAAGAAAATACCGGGCAGCTGGAAAATGATGATTTACAACACGAACATAGCACCGACAATGTTATACGGAATTAACACTTCAGCGCTAACAAGGAGCAACAGACGAACATTGTGGAGGGCGGAGTGGAAGGCACTCAGGATACTGAAGAAAACAGCAACCTCACAAGAAAGCAGAGAAGAGAACTACTAGAAAGAAAGACGATTACCAGGAGACTGAAGATGATTCAGATGAGATACTGGACATACCAATAAGAGGAACAAAGACCATATCATACGGGCTGCCAAGATTCTGTGTGCCTCGGAATGGAAGGTACGCCGACCCTGCCACACATGGAGCACCACCATAAACCAAACGGTAGAGGTCTCGGGGATTACCATAGGAAGATGGGAAGCAAAGAGCAAAGACACACATCAAGGAAGAAAGAAAGTAGAAGAATACTGGAAGTGGAGGAAGAAGCCAAGGGGAGGAGGAAAAGGGGACAGAAAGTAACGCAGGGAGAGGACAACAATAAAAAGGGCCTAACACGAGGGAAAACCGGGAAGGGAACGAGACCAAAGGATAGGAACATCGGAAGCCAATGAACGCCCGGATAAGAAGCTATCACTAGAAAGCAGAGTTCCCTCTAAGGCAGAATACCAGTGGCGAAGCTGTGGCCGTACCCGTTCGGGTCGGATAACACCCAGTTAGCCGCCCCCCACAACCCCCCCAATCCACAAAATCCACCACACTGTTTGGCATATATCGCGGCCCAGCGCGATGGCAACAAAGTAGTGGAGAAACGTCCCTGATAGTGTCTACCAGGAACGCATCCTCACGACAGTTGACTAAATCCTGGGAGAGGCGGCGACGCCAGGCATATGTCAAAGTTTCAAGTTTCAATATGAATTATAAGCGATGCATCTCTAGTTCGATAAAAAATAAAACGTTTAGAGTACGACAAAATGTCGTTATTAAAAGACGACAAAAAAAGGTAACACAAATGTCGTCACTAAAACGGATGCCATTGGTCATATGACGTCTTAGACGATAAAATACCTTCAAATGACGACATTAAAACGTACGTGTGCTATCTGGGAATATGATCTTCATATAAAGACAATAAAAGCAGAGTGCTTTCATGGGTCCATCGTTGTGTTTCTGCAACAATATGTATATCAATAATGCAGCAATTACAATGCAGAATTATATTTCAGTTTAGGACACCTTGCACTCGCGCGACTAATTTGTTAAAAAGCAAAAAATTACTACGTATGTGAAGTTAGCGTCGAAACTCCAAGCGTCGGAAATCCAGTATGCGGATAACCAAACTAACCTAGCAAATCTCATTGAATTAAATATTTTTCATTAAAACAAAATATTTAATGGTGGCGTATCACATGTGACTTTAGATTATGATTAAGAAGGACGCATGAGGCCGTCTAAATCCCAAATCCACACTTTTTGTATTCATAAATAAGAAAGTTATTAAGTACGAAATATCGGGAAATCAGATTACTATATTACGGACGCTCGGAAAATCCGGTGGCATTTTCAAACTAGTGGTGGCGTATCACATGTGACTTTAGATTATGATTAAGGACGCATGAGGCCATCTAAATCCGAAATCCACACCTTTTTATTCATAAATAAGAAAGCTATTAAGTACGAAATATCGTGAAATCAGATTACTATATTACGGACGCTTGGAAAATCCGATGGCATTTTCAAACTAGTGGTGACGTATACAGGGTGTAGAATTGGTTTACGCACCATAGGGATTTCCTCGGGGATTTCAATGTTAATTTCTTTATATTGAAATATTTTATCCCCTAATTATTTTGCAGCAAAGTTGTAAATAGGTTTCTTGTAGCTTTCAAATTCTGCGTTTGTTCATGTCCTCATTTATTATTTTTGAGTTTGGGAAATCGTAGAAATTAAGTCAATTAGAATGTATCATTTGCGTAAAAAGTACGCTGCATGAACGAATTTTTTGTTTCAATAATTTCACGGCATGAGTGATTTCTGATAAAATGCTAATTTATAAGTACCTAATTTCCATAATTTCTCGGTTTTCCCACAATAAAAAATTACAAATGGGCACATGAATAGACGCAAAATCTTACAATCTACAAAAAAATTACTTACAACTTTGCTGTAAAATAATTAGGGGAGATAATCCATTTAAATCCCTATGGTGCGTAACCCAATTCTACACCCTGCATAAAAAAATACGAATACTCGTGGTATTGAAATTATAACTATATTATTATACATATACAGCTATATACTACAAACTAAATTAAAAACTAAACGAGAGCTAAGTATATACAATACCCAAAAATAATTTTTTTAAATAAATCCAAACTCTTCTTGTTGAAGTGGATTCCGTCACTGAAAAACAAGCATTAGTTTAAAATTATCATTTGATTATACATTTGAGCTACCTTTCAAATACATTTTTAAAGTTTTTGAATTTCTCCTCCACGTCACACAGGATTAGCCTATTATCTGGAAATAAAAAAATTTGATATTATACTTTATATCCAATACATATTAATTAGTATACTTACTATCAGTTTGATTTCTAATAAAATTATTAAATTTTTTCAACTGTGTTGCTTGGTCCTGTGTTACCCTTGGAGTGTGTGGTATAGTGCACAATATGGCGCGTTTAATTTTCTCCGTTTTTTTTACAGTTGTAATGAGACGTAACATGGCATTCCTTATTATGCCGTAATTTTTGTTCTGAAATAAACAAACAGTAAAAAATCAAATTAAAAAAACAGGCCTGTTCGACTTTTGCGAATGGACTATAATCTTTGACGTTAAGAATCTTTCTAATTTCTAAGTTTGAAGTTTAAAAATAATCAATCCACTTACCCCAAATGTGTTGGACCGTCGGACTTTCTTCTGTGAAGGTGGTGTAAGAAGGGATATAACAATTAGGAAAACGGAGGAAATGTTGATTGATTATTGTAGAGGGGGAAGTTTATGGTGGTTATTGCAGAAAACACGATCCGAAACAAATTATGTATTGTAACTATCCAAAATGAAATTTATTCAAAATGTACGTCGCGTTCGAACAATACTTTTCTATCGAATGACCAATGTCATTCCTTATACATGGCCATGACTTCGTAATCTGATTTAATAAATTTTATACAAATAAATAAATATGCGACAAGGCCTTTGGTCTATGTTGTTATTGCTACACAATCCATATAAACACCTATGATTAAAAATGTTTGAAAAAATAAAAATCTTTTTTAACTGTTTCCATCTATTATATTGTGTCTCATATATTACTGTCTACTGATCCCCTTTTGAAAGTCGTAATTTACGAAACGTCAAAAATTTTTAATGTCTTCAACGATGGTGCTTATGCATTAAATAAATAAAATACTGTCCAGTGGCTGTATTTCTTCAAACATTTTTAATCATATAACCAGCCGTCTCCAACAACCAGTGAATAACCTATGGTACTTACACGCCTCAAGTCATTGGTACCAACCATGACAATTACGAGTTCCGCTGGCTGATAATTAAATTCAGGGCTCTGCATTCGTTTAATCCTTTTTTGCAATTGGGAGATGGTTTGTCCCCCAATTGCAAAATCCGAGTATACTCGCCTCCTTTGACTTCGTACCTCCGTCTTTATTTGACTTTCTTTCCCCATGGAGGTTAGAAGCCGCCCCAGGTTAGAATCCCCAAAAAAGGACACCTCATTCTAAAACATTACATTGTATTATTAATTTCTTAACTATAAATAACCTTCTATAGAGATTGAAAATGAAACGTTTTGGTAATATAGGAATTTCAGTTATACTTACACTATTTATTATTAACATGTCGGTTGTTTAAATTTAAGTCGCGGTTGTATATTCGTTCAAAAGTGCACCAGCAAAAACGGTTAACTTTCTTATTTATGAATAAAAAAAGTGTGGATTTCGGATTTAGATGGCCTCATGGGTCCTTAATCATAATCAAAAGTCACATGTGATACGCCACCACTAGTTTGAAAATGCCACCGGATTTTCCGAGCGTCCGTAATATATGGTAATCTGATTTCGCGATATTTCGTACTTTGTAACTTTCTTATTTATGAATAAAAAAAGTGTGAATTTGGGATTTAGACGGCCTCATGGGTCCTTAATCATAATCTAAAGTCACATGTGATACGCCACCATTAAATATTTTGTTTTAATGAAAAATATTTAATTCAATGAGATTTGCTAGGTTAGTTTGGTTATACGCATACTGGATTTCCGACGCTAACTTCACATACGTGCATACAGGTTCCACTCACTGGAAGGGCAGCTGGCAAGCTGAATAGCTCTCCGAGTATTGTTCTTGGGTCACCAACATTCTTTCTTACCTGCTTCGAACATTACATTTTAGTCACATCACATTGCATGCCTAGTGGGTTTTAAATTAATTTTTGACTAAAAAAACTGCACATGTACTAGTAGCTGACAGTCACTGCTCCAGAAGTTGACTTTGACTGTCCCAAAAGCTGATGGCAATGAATATTGGTAGTACCTACCCAGCAAACAATGATCATCGGGCCAATGCAAAATAAATATATGGTGGCCGATGTTGGCCATAATGGCATAGTGTTGGCAATTGGCATTGGGCCAGTACCTATAGGTCACTCTGGCCAGCAGCCGACCAGAGATGATTTGCCATCATGGCATAGTATTGGCCACTGTATTGGCCCAACACTTCTTTTTTATGATGGCCAGCAGCCGGCCAGATATAATTTGCCATAATGGCATAGTATTGGCAACTGTATTGGCCCAACACTTATTTTTTATGATGGCCAACATATGGCCGCATGAAGTTAGCTGGCCATTGATATTGGGCTGCTATCTAGAGCTGACTTCAGTCAGTTGTTGGTTAATGGAAAATGTATTCGAATTATACTCAGTGGCGTCGGAAGACAGAATTCCAGGGAGGGGCAACGTCATCAAAATAAGGAAATTAATAAAAATGATTTTATTTATACATTTATTCGTAGGGTATCGGTATACACTGCAGCCTATGCATATTTATCAGAGAAGGCAAACATCTGACCGGTACAAGAATTCATCTACTACATGGACCCCCTAAAAGTAATGAAGATGTAACACTCCCTAACGAGATTTTTAATAACATACCTGAAATCGTCAGGAGGGTAATGAAAAATACTTAAATCAATGAAATAGGGAAATTATCCAACCTCAAATTGTGAGTCTGAAAGAATTTTAGATAACATAACGTAAAAGAAAGTCAACGCCATTTCACTTACAGGTAGGTAGGGCGATGAACTTCAACCAGATATATAGCCTCGCAATGGAGAAAACGGCTTCTGAGTTACTCTACTCGACAACGCCAATAAAAAGGTAAAATTGCCAGAGATTTTACGTGAATGATGGCAAATATTACCCACTGGTTTTAGAAGAATTCACAATGCCACGCTCTACAAGTACAACCTCGTTGGCTTTAAAACGGAAATGAAGTGAAAAATTAACGCGATTCTGCGCGAGGAAAGAAACACGCGTACAAGTGACGCCATCTCACCTATATCCTGCCTAACCTAGCAAGCGGTAATTTTGAAATTTGAATATGAATAAACTAAACTGTTACACCGTGTCTGTTAGAAGCTGATTTTGATAATTACTAATAATATCATAAACATGTGGCATTTCCAAAAAAATTTTAAGTGTTTTGTCCAAAGGAATAAAATAACCAACAGAATTTCGTAAAACCATTGAAATATTGTCATTAATCTTTTTTCTATCTGGTGTGACTCCTAATTTATATTCAACAGGTTTGACAAAATAATTTGATTTCTCAAAATAATTGATCCTTTTATATTCAGTGTTAACTAATAAAAACGAGTGCTTTATAGCATCGATTGTGGTATTCATTTGTTCTAATTGTTCTTTTGGTATATAAGATTGAAACATTTTTAAAGATAATCTCATAATATTTATTAGTGGAGTTAGCAAATTTTGAACTGACTCAAGTAAAGTTTGAATAAAATTTCTTGGAATGTACGAATTGTAATATAACCTAGATATAAATGTGTACAGTAAAGACATATATTCTTTTTGTAGTAATTCAAAGGTTTCAGTTTCAGTGGGCGGAGGCGTTTTAGGTAAAGATTCAAACTGATCAGTACTGCTTCCCACTTGAACATCTTTATCGTAGTTTATTGCAAACGTACTTACGTTTTTGTTTTTCGAATGTTTATTTAGTTCATTGAAATTATGTGTTTTAATATAATGTTGTTTAAATGATCTTTTAATATGAAACACCCGGCAACAATCTTTTTCTGGACACAAGTAGTGATCAGTTATATTATGAGCATATTCTAAGTGCATAACGTACTTATTAAGCTGCATAAAAGACTTCCTACAATTGTTACACTTCATCTTTTGACGTTTTGTTAGTAAGATAGGTAACTAAAGCCTACACATCAAATATTTACGTCGGATTAGAAATAGATTTCAATTGAGATAAGACATCATTAATATATGGAGGAACATTATCGCAATCCAAATTAATCCCATAAAGACCTTTTTGAATAAGAAGATATAAATATTCAGTTTGAATTATGGGTATTTCGCATTCATTATATGAAAAATTTTAAATAAAATATCAAACGCCTTTATAGGATTATCAAAGTGTAAATAAATAGTGTCTATTACTATATAGAAGGCTCGAGGATCTTCAATGCTTCCTACATAAATTATGTACGGCTGCACAGTTTGTTGATGAGCTAGGGCTTTTTCTTTTTGAATTCTTATTACTTCGTCTATATCTCCGGCAGTCTAAAAAGGAAATACCCTGAGCCTTTATTGTTTTATAATCAAATGTTCATACCTTAGCTTCAACAACAATTCCTTCAACAGTTTCTTGTGTTGAAAACTTCCAGTGTTTAGAATTCTTTAAAACAAAACGACCTTTAGATGAATTAGAAGCGCGATCGTTTTTAATTCAATTAAAAATTTGGAATCTGTAAGAAAAACTACAATACGTGATATAAATTTGTTAAATATTACCTTGATTTTTAATGTTTTCCCGTAATTCGAGTAATTTTGCTACTGTTTTGTCTTTATTTCCTGTCTTCTTAACTTCTTGTATTTTTGCAAAAAACTGGTCCCAATTCATAAAAAGCTTAAGACCTTTACCATCATATAGTTGGTTAAAATCTGAATTAATCTGTAAATAAATTAATAGTACTTATATGAATTTTTTGTAAGAACCCTTTCTTATGTATAGTTTACTTTTCCGATATAAAGACAGCCACTAGGGATCTTCAAAAAGGTAAAAGATTCAGATTTGGTACTTTTTAAAAAACAAACAAGACTATCTTATAGGTCATTAAAAGTGTCATTGGTTTTGCTCGAAGCAAAACAATAATAACAGAAAAAAATTGTTTTTTAAAAATGAAGAGTTTTGTTGACGCCATTTTCTTAGTTCTTTCACTGCGCGACTTTTTCTCGTTTAACCAAATCTAAATTTTACCGTTTTTAATATTCCATAGTGGGGCTCCTCATGTTAGCAAAGTGTAGGTATAATAAATCAAACTCCTCGGAAAATTGAATAGTATCATTAAAAATTACGATTTAAAAATCAATACGTCATAAAAAGTGCTTAAACTTTATATTAGTTAGTAGTAAATCAACGATTTATTAATTCAAAATTTAAGTACATAATACGTTTTTGACTATTCAAAAACCGTTCATTTTCTTAGCCAGTTGATTAGTTAACAGATACTTTTTATACCTTTCTTAAAGCGGTCATAAAATTAATATTATGACCAGAGTTACACTGAGTCACATACATCTCGACTAGGGTTGCCAAAATCTCATTCACAATTTCCGGGACTTTCCGACTTCACGAGCGTTGCATGAGGGGGGGGGGGGGGTTCAAAACTCTACAAATTTTGGTATTACTTTATTAATAAGTCTAAGAAACAAAAAATAAAATATTAGTTCAGTACATGAAAAAGAAAATCAAATTTGTTATAATATGTTTCCAAACCAATATACATATTATTTTCTTATGTATTTATCACTAGATTTGGCAATCTTCAAAAGTTTCTGTCCATCTGCACTTTGTAAAACTGTTACAATTTCTGAACACGATTCTTCATAATTAATGCGAGTCTGCAATTCGGATTTGATCAAATCCATGGACATCCTATTTCGATCTTTAGTCCATACATTATTCAACAGGCTGAAAATTTTTTCGCAGAAGGCGTTGCTTGTTGGAATTGATAAAACAAAACCAACTATTTTTTTTAGGTTTTTAAGATCGTTTGTGTCGTTTGTTCTAAAGAAATGCGCCCATATCTTATCGTTCGGTAAATCTTTAGGAAGAACCTCAAAAACCGATTTTATGCACGCAAACTCTGTATAAAGAGAGTCAATGTCAACTGCGTCTTCAATTTTTAATATATCAGGAAACTCTGACAGTACTTCCCACGTCAGCTTAAAATCCTCTGATTTAAGGGAAAGCAACTCAAATTTCTTGTAAATCCCATCTGGTCCAAAGTCGTATCTTTCTTCTAGATAATGAATTGCTCTTTGCAGAAAAATGTGAGCTTGCTCTGTAAACTGATTTTTTTTATCTTCGCAGAGGTTTCTAAAAATAACCTTGACTTTACTTCCAAAAAATTATCAGCTAACCGGCTTTTTAGTTGGTCAAAAAGATTTCGCATTGCACGATCGAGGTCTAAAATAGAGTAGGTATCACTTTCCAATATCAGGATTACTTTGGTGAATTCAGGCAAAACATTCTGCAAAAAGAAAAGATAGCAGTCATTCAGGCTTTCTTTCAGGCACTCTTCCTCATTATTAAAATCATTACTATCACATCCTTCGGAAATAAACTCCCAAAGCACTTTATGACTGTTAGCCGGACCTTTCAAAATATGCTATCACAGATTGTGGAACACACTCTTTGAATTGAGAATATAATAAATCATATTCTGATTCATTTTTACTATATACAAGTTTTTGTAAATAATTTAACGATAAATCACGCTCTTCTCTGGAAATATTCTTTTTGTCACAAGTCACTTCTCTTCTAAACGTCTTTAGTGTATGGAAGATACAAAGATAAAATGGAGTGTTTGGGAAAAGATCTTTAACAACTTGACGTTCTACTAAATCTTTATCGCCCATGAAAGATTTCACCTTTGTAAAATCAAAATGTTTTTTAAATTGTTCAAATATCCAGTGGTAGGTCTTTTTATCTTCGGTAGAAATAAGTGAGACATTAGCAATTTCTGACTGTCCATTAGAATCTACTACCAGACATAAAAATACAGTGCAACCTATATCAATCAATTTATATGTTCCATCGATACTTATAAATTCTGGCCAAGCATTTAAAGCATTTCTCATATCTTGTGTTGTAAACTGCATTGCTTTGAATTTTTCATCCTCATCACAGAAAATATCAACCATACATCCTATAATCATATATTAAATTTATAAATATTTTTGCATAAAAAATAAATACCATAAGATTTTGTCAACAAAGAAACAACTTCATCTAGATCATTCTTCTCTATCTTTCTTCTATAATTGATATTTTGCAAGTCCTTTAATGTCGTTTTCTTCCCAGTGTCTGCCAGCACTTTACTCTGAATTTTCTTTTTATTTGCATCCAAAGATAAAAAAGTTTGCACAGATTTGAGCTCGTCTTCATTCAATGCGCGAGTCTGAGGTAGATGATCATACACCTTCTGAATAACAAAAATAAAAAATTTAAGCATATCTTCAAGAAATGTGTTCTTAATAATATAATTTGAAGGGCTCTAATATAGTTTTGTAAAATGAATGATTGTGGAATTCAAATTAGTGCTTTTATTTATGAGCCTAAAAGGTAGTTAAAGTGACCAACTAAGTAGTAAGTAGCCATATTTTGAAGGCTACATGAGACTAATAAAATAGGATAAGTAAGTACATACCTGTGACAGTTCATGTTTTGTATGCATCGTGTTAATGCTACATATTTGTAAAGAATGTCCCTCAGATGAAACACGAAGCTTAAAGTTTGCTTCACATCCTTGGCGCAAAGTGCTGTAAGAAAAAATATTTACATGAAAATTGTTATAAAATATGAAAAAGGATAACTCACCTAGTTTTTTTTATTCCATTACCTCTTTTTGCAAGTCTTTTTCCATGAATGCATGCATATTCAATCTCATAATAGACGAGAGATTGTTTAAGTTTTCTCTTAAGAGAATTAGATGCACTGGTGATTGTTCGGCTCCTTATTTTATAAAACTTTTGTTTATTGATAGTTTCATAACTCTTCACACACATTTCTAACTCCTCATAAGTATCAAATCGACGCCCTTTGTATAATGTGTCTTCCTCTGCAGACATGGCAAGTGGTTCGTCGATATAAGAATAATTTACTTATGTTGGGAATAGTTTCGGTTTTCAACTCTGTTTTCAAAAATATTTGTATTGTATTGTAACTACCCATGCACTATTAACAGTATTAACTATAATAGGTACTAACCCACACCACTATAGTTGAATCAGAGGAAACACCAAGATTTTATTTCTATAACCTCACTTGACAAATCTCAAGCAGAGAAATCAGCTGATTGCAAACGTCAAACGTGCCTCGTTCGTCAAAAAATTCCGGCACGTTAACGTGCCCCGAGTCACGGCGTTTTCTAAAAAATAATATTTTACTGCAGGCCAGCTATACATTAATCGATCTATAGCAGGCAAAAGTGATAACCATCTTGTAGGAACATGTCTTAGTAATTCTTTAAATTCTATTTGAGCAAACTCAAAACATTCTTTTAATTTTTTTGTTTTTAAAGCTGACGAACTAAATTCGTTGTATATTTTGATGACTGTTTTCTACGTCAACATCAAGTCCTTTCAACGCATACTTTACACAATTATTTATTACATGACAATAGCAATTAGCTTTGAAAACATGTTGATTTTCTGCTTTTAACTTCTGATACACGGAATTATGTATGCCATAATTTACAGAAGCGTTATCTGCACTATATGCGCTAATTTGACGCATGTTGAGGTCAGCATTAGTAGTAATTCTTTTCAAGCACTCATATATATCGAAGGATGTTTCATCGGCATTCATAAAAATCCAATAGTTTTTTGCACATACCTTTTTTACTATCAAAATATTGAACAGCATACGGAAACGTTTTTATATTACCAACGTTAGAAGCGTCAGAACCTACTGAAAAATAATGAGATTGTTTCAAATCAGCTATCAACTTTTCCTGTGAATATGGTCCTAAAAAAACATTGCGTGTGATTGACGAAGCCTTAGTGCGTCCACATGTCATTTTTGCAGATATTTGACTATCTGGAATAAATTTGCTAATGTTTCTGGCCAAGCAGTCCAAACTATTATAACTTAAACCATGTTTCACATTATGATAAATAAAAGCTACTTCCGCCGTCATAACCAAAGCTTCTTCCTTTGTGTCCTTTTTTATAACAAAATTCTCCATGCAGGTTGATATCTTTTTTGCTGACAACATCTTTTTATGTTTAGTACTACTAGCGTGAACCTATAGCAATAATTTATAAGAAATTTGTAACGAAAAAAGTTCAAAACTTACTGTCAACGCACGGCGACCTTCATATTGAATTGCAATATCCGAATTACATGTTTTACAAATTGCAGTATAATCATTTTTTTTCTGAATCCAGTCTAAAATCAGGATCGTTCGACCACTTGTCATTAAAACCGGTGAATCGTTTTTTGCTTGTTGATGGATACGGAAATGGTTCCATTACACTTTAGAACACTAAAACCACTGAACTTCAAGAAATTAAACACTCAACGGTTTTTACTCGAGGCAAGAAGGTAATGGTAAGTGCACCGTGTAGCGTATTGCGTATTGTATCTGTATGTTGTGGTGGGTGCGGGTGGGAGTCAGGGAATGAGAGCGCGGATGCGCTGCGCACACTGTCAAGTGTTGCCCTTATGGCCTTGCCGATCGGACAACACTAATCACATTTATATCATTATGTAATATGACGCGATGGGGGCGATCCGGGACACCAATGTACAATTACTGGACACGGGACAAGAGACTAAATTCCGGGACTTTCCCGGATTTCCCGGCCATCTGGCAACCCTAATCTCGACCCAGTGACCGAGTGCAACTCTGATTATGATAACGTATACAAAATTTTGTATAGACAAGTATGCTCGATTTCTATTTACGGAACACAAAAGAGCAAAAAAGCTAAAAAGTGTAAAAAAGTATCATATATTAATTTAATAAACGATTGAAAAACTAAAAATCTAATTAAAACATCGTTTAAAAATAAGCATACACTGAGAAAACTGAAGTGTCATTAATAACAAAAAAAGTACATGTCATACAACTGGTTGCTGTAAAATGAGCGCCCATGACGACAAGTGTTATTCTTTACAACAACAAATTTGTAGAGCGTTACTAGTTTGGAATATATTTTAAACAAATATCTTATACTCACTATAGAAAGTAACCTATACAACATGTTGTTGTAATGAAACACAAGAAGGAAGTAATGTATAACAACTACATACTATATTTAAGAACTGTATATTATGGAAATATACAATAATAAAATTTATACACATACCTTTGTTCTTTATCTGCGCAAACATGACATACTAGTGTGTAATCCAACTAGTTTATGTGGTGGTGTACTCTTAACGTTTGTTACCAAAACTACTATGTAAGCGTTTGTCAAATGACTAATGCGCTAAACGTCATTACCATTGCGTTGTATTATGCATATTCCAATTCGAAGTATACACCAAGAGAACAAATAAAGTAAAGTATACATTATACATTTTTATTAACAAACGTAAAAAAGGATCCTTTTACAATATAGGTATATAATTAGATATAACGATACATACAGGTAGAGTAGATAATACTATCTACTTGGTATGCTTACATATACATACAAAAAAAACATGTATTACACATAATAAACATAAAACATAATACCTACTATATTTACAGCCTGTGATGACATACGACGAACTGATAGTCTCTTTTTACAAATAGACAGGGTACATGGCTACATAAGTCACTTGCCAGAATCAATTTAAATTTTGCACTTGTGTTTATTTTATATGCATAATAATGCTCGTCAAAGTAAACCGTTTCTGTTTCTTCAACTAGAAAATATATTTTTTCTTTGATATATAAGATTTTCTTAAGAATACAAAATGATGGTTGCTGATCATCACTTAAACTATCTATTAAGGTGAAATTTGTGTTTATGGAGTATCGATTTTCAAAAAATTGCACCCAAGTACAGGTAAAGATTTCCTCTACGTTCCTCAAATCATTTGGTATTATAAGATTTGCAAACATTTTGTGCAGATGTGCAACAGTTTCTTTTTTCAAATTTCCCATGCAACGTTTTGGTTCCGTGTTATATTTCAATGAAAGTAAATGAAAACTTAAACTCAATTGAAGTCTTTTCAAAATAGAATCTTCTATGTTAACTCTGCTACAAATGGAATTTGCAATTGCCTTTAAATTTTTGTGTTTTGCCTCAAATCGGATTGAAGAATAAAAAGGAAATGGCCCACAGTGTTTGAAAACTCGAGGGTAATGAGTGAGAATATGGTACTTAAATTTTAAGTGAGACTTACTAAACTCCAAATACAATTGATTGTGTTCCTCCACTATATTTGCAATTATAGCTGCACAATTAATTTGTAACTTTTTAGACGTAAGATAGTCAATTAATTTTCTTAATGATCGATACAATTTCCAAACACCAAAACCCTTCGGCACCAGATCTCCAATTATAACACCAAGATAACGTGTGAAGCACAGCATCTCAGCTGCTGACATTCGAAGGTGATTGTCGTTCAAGTGCATCATTTTAATTGGAGGGGGTACATTACTTTCGAATCCAAAATTAAAACATTTTATGCGATAATTTAGTGTTTCCAAAGAAAATAATTTTGCTTCTAAACACTTTCTCAAAATTAATACAATATCATATACACACACTCCTTCCAATACATCATGCATGATATCAACTGAAAAATTTGAAGCTAAGTGAAAATTTTTAACAGAGTGCCAAACACACATTTCTTTTACTCCATACTCGTAATTAGATGAGTCATTGAAATAGTTATCTACTGTTCTAATACTTTCTAAGTCCTCTTTACATTGCCTATCTCTTGCGAGTTTTGGAGATTTGCACAGCCGACAGCAGTAATGACTGGTAAAAGATTCTACTAACCCAAGCATGGTATTTTGACCTAAGTTGTCTCCAAGCAGTAAAGCCAATTGAAACTTAATTTTTTCACCGTTAATGACAATTCCGTGTGTACTCAAAGAGTTTAATTCGTCAATTATACATTTTAGTATTACCTTTTTTCCAAACAGCTTCAAATCTGTAGTTTTAAATAACATTGCGACAAAGATATTAGATAAGTTGGATTGTATGTCGGTAGGCAAACATGGTATACTATAGTAAATACCACCTAATTTATTACATCCTGAGTGAGATCCAAGAGGATTGCCAGTCTCGAACTCATCAAAATATAAAAATAGTGGGAGCACCATACAGTTGTCGTCGTGGACAATTAATTTTTCTTTCCAATGTGGACCCTGAATGTAGTTGCAAAATAAATTTTGTTCGTTTAATAACGCATTAACGTGGGCCTTTGTTTTTTGTAATACACCTGGAAGTTGAAAGAAAAGAGCCATAGTTTCTACCATAGAAATGTATCTCACGCAATGATTGATTGATTTAAGCGTAATTTTTCCAAAATGTTTTTTTCTACAAATTTTGGTACCCACCAAGTGTTTTTTTGGTTCTACAAAAAGTTTTTCATTTTTAAAATATTTAACGCATCTATATTCAGTAGAAAATGTAGACAAACAGTTATCAACTTCATTTAATAAATTCGTAATTTTCTGCTCATTCCCAACAATACCTAAAAAGGTGAGATTCTGTTTTATTATATTTACGAAAGATTTGAGAAGACTATGTACATCGTTGATGATGCGAATAACCTTATTTCTGGCCAACACACGATCACCATATAATTTAGAAACAAAGTAGGACGTGTTTTTCAAGATCATCTCTCTATAACTAAAGGCGCAAATATTATCGCTTTCAGAATTGCTTGATAGGCTGTCTATAACAGCTGATACGACGTCATTAGATAAACTATGACTTCTTTCGGTGTTAGGACTTTGGTTATTAAGTGGTTCTTCTACCGAAAAATCTCTATGTACACGAGAAAAATGTTTCCGAAATGATTTGCAAGAATTGAATTCTCTGTAACAATCTGATATTCCACACAAAATTGATTTTACATTTTTATGAAAAATTTCATAATGAGTTATAAACGCTGCAAGCGACTTATATTTCCCATGACACTGTTTACACACAATCATTTTAATTTTTTTAAAATAAGTAAGACAATTGGTAAATGTGATATTTACTCTGGTTTTATCTGTTATGTTGTGGAATCTATTAAAATAGCGTCTAGATCAGATTTTACGGAACTTACCGCTACAAAGTTTACATCAAACTCTGTGTGAATTCCGTAGATGTGTTTTTGTATATATGTAAAGCATTGCTGACTTTCAACGGGATATTTAGCATTTAAAGCAAAACAAGCTTTGAAACACAAATCCAATGCCTTCAGTAATGATTCCACTTCATATACATGGGCGTTTATTTTAACTAGATATTTAATGGGTTGTTCGATATCTCCTACTATGATGGCAGATGGTTGCTCTGTTAGTTTTAACCGCACACACTTCTGCTCCCTGGCTTCCAAAATTTGGGCATAATCGGCCTCCTCCTAATATCAAGGAAGATAATATTTAATAAAATAGGTATAACCTAACTATAGGTTTTGAACTTACCTTTATGTGCAGTATAAATGAATCCTTGATTTCGATTTTGGAGAAATTTGGCGTTTGTTTTCCTTTAATTTTTCGGTATATGTTGGGAAATATTAGAGGGAATAGAAGTAATGATAAATGTTCTTTAACACCTTGAAAATAAACGTTTAAGTGCACACTGCATTTAATCCTAATATATGCCTTACGATAAGATGCGGAGTCCAAATTATTAATGCTTTCTATTAATTGTTTGATTAAGGGACAGTTCTTCCTTTTTGCCAGAACTATTATAGCTTCACTGATATTCGTCCAATGTTCAAACAGTTTGTCCTTTTTATCGGGATGCAAACGATTAAAATCATCTTCCAACTAAAAAAGATGGGTTATATAATATTATTAGGTAGGTAATCCAAACTTACACTTACCAATAAAATTCCCGTTGGCAATTTTAAAGCAATAAATTTCTCAAAATAATCGAAGATTGAAATGCCAGATGTTATATTTGTTGCAAATCTAAAGGAATGACTCTTTTTCCAGTGCTCTTGGACCGTAGTAAATGGAGCATTATTGTACTCTAACCAACTGGCAGATTCCTCCGCACCTTCTTCAATTACACCTTGAAAGATATTCCTATACAGAAGTATGCAGATACTATTACGATCGAATCGGTATATATGGTTTGCTTATAGCTTACTTGGATTTGGCTGGTTGGGTTTGGTTTTTTTGGCTGGTGTGGATGGAATAATATCCAAACTTCTATATTTCCTCCTAGTGTTTATGTATTTGTCCCATAGCTTTCCATGGTTACCCACTGCTTTGCCTTCCATGTCCCTGTATCCCTGCACATAATAGATTCCAGCATTTTCCGTGGGAAAAGTCCTTTGAATTTCTTGAGCCAAATAAACAAAACGGTCCCTTTCAATCCTTTAACATTGTTGACATAAATAATGTCCTGTAAAGGACTTTTTACACACCTTTTGTCTGGATTATTCCTTAACTCATCATCAATAATTAGTTTTACTAATGCTCTTCGTTTAACAATTTTTTGTAGTGCGTATGTTTGTAGCAATTCTCTGCCCTCGTTGCAGTTTAGAATCGAATTTAAATCCTGCACAATTCAATAAAATGAAATAACACTAGTAGTACCTTTAATATACAATACCCGCTTTTGTTCTTGTGTGGTTGATTCGCCGTTGTCAAAAAATATTATTGAGCTAGCAGCGTCTGGATTTCCACTTTCTAAAAATTTAGAGTAAGTATAACTATAGATGAAACTGGTCGGAAAAAGCCAAAATTTATATATACAGGGCGTAATGAAGACATTGACCAAACTTTACAAGCGTCTTCATCCCCTTTGATCTAATCTACTTTCTATACCTAACTAATGAAAAACCACGACTTTTTTTACTATTTTCTAAATTAATAATTAGTGCTTGTTTTGGGGGCATACGCTGCGGATATCTCCCTTGATAAAGACGTCGAGGTAGGTTTGCATTTACATCTATCCATCCAGAAGTAAAATAAATATCGGGCATTTATCCGCAGTGAATCTCACTTTTCTCACAGAATTGATGCGTAGTGTGTTCAGACACCAGACAAAAGTAGCGTAAACCGTGCAGTTTTTGTTTGGTTTGTGAACACGTATACGCAAATTTTGCAATTACGTACATTATTCTATACATATTTATTTACTTGCCTAAAGATATAGTAGACAGATCTTCTGATCTCGGTTCATCAGCTTCAGATACGCCAGTATCTAATTCAATTTCGGCCAATTTAATCTAAAATAACAGAACAATTCATGTTTGTTGGAAAAAAAGTTCAATGCCGTTGCGGGGTTCCAAATATGCAAATAAAAAAAAAGCTTGAGCTAGGTAGCTATTGCGATCGACGCTTTTTGGACATGTCAATATTTCATCAAATGTCCACGTTTTAGATCATTTTAAGCAACTTTTAAGGAATAACATTTTTTGCTGCCTGTCTGTGTATCTATGTATGATGGCAATTTTCCAAGATAACGGCCCGACGGATTTTGCTGAAATTTTGGATTTGCATATTTGGAACCCTGCAACGGCATTGAACTTCTTTTTCAACAAGTAACCCACATTTTTATGAAGGTAATCGAAAGAAGTTATTTTTGTGTGTACACCCTCCAAAAATTGTGCCTGGTTTTATTACAAAAAATAGACAAAAAATGTCAAAGTTAAAACCAGGTGCCAAATTCGTGACAGAACAGCTTCCTAGCCCAAACATAAATTTTTGTAGGGTGTACTCAGAAAAAGAAAGCCTTTCGAGTAGTTTAATAAAGATTTTGCGTTGCTATTTAAAAAAATTGTACGGCGTCACGATGCGGCGCTAAAACTCAAAAATAAAAAAATATGTTCGGCAGTCTTACAGACTTTATTTTATACCTAATGTGCTTGCTAAAATTTTAACAAAATCAAAAAAACACTGTTTAATTTTTTTAACTTTGACATTTTTTATGTTTTTTTTTTATAATAAAACCTAGCACAAGCTAGGAAGCTAAAAACAAAATCTTTTTTTCGGTAAAACAGTGATTTTGATTTGTGTAAAACTACAAACATTTTGATTTGTAAAACCTACAAACATTTTGATTTGAATTAGGAAGCTGTTCTGTCAAGAATTTGGCATCTGGTTTTTTTTAATTACCTACACATGCCTACTTTTTCTTTACAAAAACACATGTTAGCTATACACACTGCGTAGACGAAGTGTGATGTTCGGTAAAGTCATGTGTAAGAACTCGTCAATTACTTACAAATAAGGGATTGATCATTTTTTCCCGTGACCCTTCTACCATCACAAACTATCGGTGTACTTAATATATAACATATAACAATTGTTGAACAAAAATTCTATACCTACAATATGAGTAATTTTTATTCGTATAGAACTCTATTTGTTCAAAAGTTGTTTAAACGTAATCATCATAACAAAAAAAACATACCGTTTTCCAGATTTCCAAATTTTCGGTTAACTTTAGTCGGAGCCCTATCTGGGGAACCAATTTTTCAATGTCCCTCTCCTTTAATTTTAATAAAACGCTCTCGTCGATGCAATTTTCTAGAAAGAAACACTCATTACCTCCATGCTTTTACAGATTTGCCGCTAGACAAGTAGCAATGAATATCATATCAATCTCATAATGAAGCAACTACATGAAATTTTGCAGATGATGCTGCCGCCAAGTTATACAGGGTGGTTCAGACCACTTGTCCACATGTTTTATAGCTCGGGGGCTTAAAATTTTTTACCAAATAGACTAGCACTAGTGGATCTTACTAATATTTTGTCTGTGCTAATATTATTGTTCTCTATCGAATGACCGGGAAATTGGATCCTCCTAATCCTCACCGGGGGGGTTAAGGTATACTTTCAAATAGTAACCCACATTTTTATATCTTTTTGTCTATTGAATGTTTTAAATTACAATTTTCTTAATTTTAATATTATCACAGACAATTTTTATCTGTTATATTATTTATTGCCATGAACTGAGTAGATGGGGGTCTACACTACTTCTTTTATGATGTTTTATAGTTTTTTGCAGTGAAATGATTTTTTTCTAAACATAAGGCCAAAACTTTCATACATTTTTGAGTAGAATCGAGATATGCAATAAAAAATGGGGGTTATCGTTTGATATTACAAAGTGGGTTCCAATTCGTTTAATAGAGCACAACAATAGGTATTAGTAACATCCCTGGGCTGTTAATAATTCTTAGGTCCCTGAGTTATGAAAGGAATGGACGGGTGGTCTGAACCACCCTGTATACCGCTACTATGTTGCCCTTATGCAGAAGTGTATTGAATAATTCTAAATAATTAGGTAAACAGAAATTAAACATAATCAAGAATTGAATTTAGTAGTGAAATTCCGTTAGTTACTTTTTCATTGGTATAAAAACTAAGTGAAAACTACACGACTGCATAAGCAAAAATTATGTTAAAACGTTTAAAGATAGAAATATTACGATACTCATTCCACTTATATGATTTTTCATTCGCTATATCACTGAAATTAATGCTTACCTTACCTTGAAAAACTCCAATTAATGACTCTAGTCCCCAATGCGTTAATAGCATTTCCATTAGGATAGGTAAATTTATCAGGATCACGGTTATATCGTGTACAGGATACGGATACAGAACCACATAACACAAACGCACAATACACCTTAATAGTTTAAATGAGCGCTGACGCCTGTTCGAATGTGTACCTAATCTTAAAAAGTGCTTACCTACTGGTAACTAAATCATTTTCTGCAATGTGTACCATTCCTACGATTTAGAATACACTTGTTGTTGTATGTACAGAGTACAAGGAATGTAACAGTGGCGACTATTGTTTAGTATAAAATGCAAAACTGATGGGTATTGTCTAGTTATTAAAAGGGTAATATTAAGCTTTTTGTACGAATTAAATAACAACCAACACACGTCATGGTCTTAAAAATTGTTGTATGAGATATTTTATTTAAACTACAACGGTGGTTGTTATATGCAATATACTGTAATTGTCTTTATGTTACCACATTGCTTAATACAGTATGTGCGCAGTTATCTATCGAAAAATGTTGCTCTATTGCATGACTACCAGAAATTAACAAATACTTTAAGCCTCTTATACAATACAATTTAGTTAATACACAAAGATTTTGTATTAATTTAAGGGATCATTTTTCTGAGTGTACCAATGTGTCACTTCGTAAATCTTTCAATATTGACCAGAGCATAAAAACGTCAGCTACGTTTCCACCAGAAACACCTCTAACTGCTTGTCGAAGATGAAACGTATTTTCCCATTTTACCAAGACGTCACTCCATGGTTCTGTGTTGAACTTGAGCCACGCATAATCTCCATTGCTTTCTAACGGTTCATCATTGTTATTATTGGTTTCACTATTTGTACTGGTCGAATGTGGAGCAGCATCATTATTCTTTCTTCTCCTTTTTGGTATTGCCTCGTCACATACTCGGATTAAATTTTTAACTTTATCTACCAATTTTCCTTTTGCCATAATGCTTCTGTTAATTGAAGAATCTCTTTCTCTTATTGCCGGAACATAGTATGTTCCAGTCGTTTCGTTAGGGAACAAATCAATTATTTTAGCCGTCAGTCTATTGTACTCGTCATGTCGTAAACGACTACAATAAAGCTGTACTGTTATGTTAAAAATAGAAAATACAACAACTTACTTGGTGATAATATAGGTATAGATATGTTTAATTATAATATCTATAAGCCTTTTTCGTCTTATGTTGTCTAACTGTTTATTTGTCTCGTAATAATTTAACACACTACTTCCCATAGGACTAGTTGTTAAAAGTGTTTTGAGGTCAAAATCTTGAAATGTAAACGTGTTCTCCTCTAAACCAGTAACATACACTATTCAAATTTCACTACTTTTGTTTTGTTCGTAGGTATTATCAGGTAAAACATTGCTTATGTCGTGTAGTATAGTGTTGTTAAAATCATTAACATCTGCACTTACAGATTCGGATATAGTTTCAGTTTCAGTAGTGTTTGTCAAGATTTCAGTAGCATCCGAAGTGATATCATTCTAAAAAGTGATGTAGGTATTAATTATTGTAGTAATTTTATTTACAATGTATACTTTCAGCATTTCTTGAATTTTCACGTATATCAGTTTTCTTATTCCTAATGACCCCGGAATAATTTCCTTTAGGTCCTGCTGACTGAGGTTTTTAAAAACCTCAAAACCAATATCGTTTTCTATAAAGGTACAATAACTATTAACAAATAAAATTAGTTAAAAATAAAGAGATTATATAATTCCGTTTCGAAATCAGAAATTACGCAAATTATTACTACCTTACTCGTCAAAATTCTATAAATATGATACGATTATATTGAACAATTAAGTAGGTATATGGTCCCGAAAAAAATCCAGTTAAAACTATAGAAAAAACTGGGAAAACCGTTGGACAATGAGTATAAAAGCATTGAATAATTAATCTCACTCAATGGTTAAAGAAATTGCTGCATTCATTTTCCGGAGAAATTTGATTACGAATCAGTTTCTAAATACTTTCAACATTTTAGGATAAAGAGCAAAAATCTTGTTGATTTGTCTTAAATAGCAAATATGAAATCTATGTACCTACATAAAGTCCTCAATACAATTGCTAAAATGGAGTCGTAGTAGGATGCCTCATTTTGATACAAAAAAAGTATCGCAACTGTTTTACAATAGTACTTACCTGTAAATCTGTTTATAATATCTTCGGGAATATTCCAATCCCTTAAACACTGGACAACCATTTCTGTGTTCATTATTAATAATAATGTTTATTCAACAACAAAAAATAAAATAAAATGTAACAATAAAATTAAATATATCGAATGTATAATAAACCATATTAAAAAAAAAAAAAAACTCTATGAATAAACATTTAAATAATCACAGAAGTAGTTTATCTACTTGTATGTGATATAATGACTCCGGTCGGTGGTAAGATAAGCAGGGTAAATGATGTAATTTAAGGTAATTGGACGTAATCGGGTAATCGGACTTAAGTAATCATGACACTTTACTTTTATTTATTATTATTAGTTAGTATATTTTGTATGCCGGTGCAATCCTTAATCGTTGTTTACTATTGAAGAGAAGAGTTTTCTATTTTTGGTATGTAGCCATTTAGTATTTACACAGGTAACGAGCTACTTTAATTTATAAAAATGAAACCACGTTGTGTCTGCGTGTATTAACTTCTCATTACGCTTGTAAAAATAAAAATGCTTACCATCTACATCTTCTTAGAATATTATTAAGAATAGCGTCTATTAATACAACGCTTTTAACCCATTAACGACCAAGGCCTTTATTTGTTAAAAAAAACATTTTTTTTCTAATAATCTTTATTATAACAAGCTATTGAGCAAAAAACTAAATGTAACCCATATTGTAAAATTTTTACTTTAGGCCCTATGTAGGTGTACTCAAATGAGTACAATGGGCACATATGGTATTAAAGAAAATTAAACAGGTTATTTTACATCCACATTTAAAAAGAAACAAAAAATGTATTTTATGAGTGATAGTCTTTAAAACAGTCTCGCTCAATGCAGAGAGTCACCTTGCACTTTGAACAACTCCATCTGACTCTCTGATGACATTGAACACACCTTAGCTGTTTATCCAGTTTATTTGGAAAATGTCCACCTTCACTCCTTATGACGGTCATAGGTAATTCGCCAACCGGTTTACATCTATAAGTAGACTTCTCATAGCAAGCCATATAGTGGCGGACTATTACTCTCTGGAAGTCCAATAGAGCAATGGATTCATTCGATGCCAACTGATACAGTCTCCATGCATTCACCATAGTCATATTTAGCATGTTCGTGAAAAGCACCCACCACCACTTTTTGCTGCGAATAGATACCCTGTAATTACTGACCGCTTGGTCGTGTAAATCGACGCCTCCCATTGACCTATTATAGTTTTGGAAAACATTTGGTTGTGGAATTTCTAATCTTTGTTTAGCGATAGATGACCACCGTTTGACTCGTTTCATTGGTTCTAAGGTGTCGTAGTTAGAAACCATGGTAACTGTATTGTTGTCCTGCCATCTAACAAAAAGAAGAGACGAATCCTCGTCATACATATGCTCCCAATAGCCACGTTCTTTCTTCTTGAAGATTTTAGTGTCTGAAAAAGGACATTTTCTTGTTCTATTGTCTCGCACAGTTCCAGTCGCTCTTTGACCTTAATCCTTCAACGTTCTCAGCAGAGCATGACTGCTGAAGTAGTTATCAAAAAAAACTACATGATCTGAGGGTACTGCAACCGTGGTAAGAAGATCAAGAACTACTTTGGATCCCAAAGGAAGATCGCTATTTTGATTCCTTGAGTTCTTTGCGCCACAATATGTATCAAAGGAATAGCAGTACCCAGTACAACTACAGAGCGCCCAATTCTTGTACCCAAAGCGTACAGGTTTTCCTTTTATATATTGTTTGCTCGAATGACGGCCAAAAAATTTTACCATCGCTTCATCAATTGATAAATTTTGATGGAATACTCCCCATTGCTGAAACTTTTGATTCAATAATGACATCAGCGGTCGTATTTTCGACATCTTGTCCTGTCGATTTATACAGCTGTTATTGGCCAAATGTATATATTTTTTAATTTCCAGAAATCTATTTCTGGACATCGAATTTGACACAAAAGGTACTCTCAAATCTTCATCGAGACTCCAATAATTTCGCTCACTTGGTAACTTGTGGTAACCCGTTAGTAGCAGGATTGAAATGAAAATTTGTATGTCAGCCTTGGAAACAAAAAAATCATGCTTATTTTTTTGTGAGGAATACAAATTAGTTTGTTGAACTATATGATCAAGTACTTCCTGATCAAATAACTTCTCAAACACTTCAATGGGACTCAAGTGTTCTAAATCGTGTTTCACTACCTCTACGCGATCTTCAAATCCGCAGGTCGATGGCATACTGGTATCAACAACGTCTTTTGTCCACTTTGGCTCTAATAGGTTTCTTCTTTTGGTTTTTGTAGCGAGGGATTTCTCAGACGTTATGTTTTGTCGCAAAATTGATAAGGGTAAATTAGACTCCTCATCACTGGTTTCAATGTCACTATCCATATGTTGTAGCTCAATTTCACCTGCGACATCATTCGGCATTGAGAATTCTTGAATGTTATTATCATCAAATTCCTCTTCATCTGTCTGTTCATCCACATTCGGAGGAATAATAACAATGTCTATTTCGTTCTGGTTATCCGAAGAAGAAATATCTTCTAAAGCAGGATTCAGATGACAATAACTTCTTCTGCCATAAAAGCGAAGTGATGATATTCCAGGAAAATCTACAGGTTCCATCAGGAACTGTGAAAAGAAGGACATAAGAGTTCCAAAATATGAAAAAAGTTACTTTGAGAATGAAAAACATTACCTTTGGTAAATGACTGACTTTAGCCCAATGTACTCATATGAGTACACATAAAATTGTTTACTTACCAGCTTTTAGTAAACGATTATACTGTTGCAACTTCTTATAATATAACACCACTATACCTAAATAAGGCCGTATAAATCAACTCCAAGCTTATAAACCAAAGGTATATGAATATTTTACGTCACTTATAACAAGCGTGTACTACTAAATCCGAAAAGCACGTGTTATTGAATTTGAAACATGTGATTTAACTCTACCGGCAACGTATTGCAACGTTTTAACTGATTCAGGTTAAAGAATGCACTTGAAAGCAAACTTTTGCATACTTGTAGTAATGTAAAAAAGTCAACAGATGGGGTGTCTATGACCTTTTTGGCACTGTACTCAATTAAGTACAGTGGGCGTTAATGGGTTCTCAGTATGACTAATTTACTTTATGAACTGTTTCGTTCAACTATTGCAAATCAGCGAAATAGTTAAACGAACTGTACGTATTTGATATACGCTATGCTTAGTTTATATCTAAACATATTGTTAAAATGAACATAGAAAACCTTATACTAACAATAATATAATCAAATTAACGTTAGAGTTTAAAGATTTCTAAGGCTTAAAACAAGAATATGGGTATGATTAGTTCAGTATTAATAATGTAACCAATTATTTCAAAGTTTCGTTTAACAATTTACATTTAAAGATATTACTCTCGTTAAATTCAGTATAAATTTTTATGTGTGTGCAACAAATGGGTTGCATTAGGTGGAAGTAGAACAAATTCTATGTCATATTTTTCGCAGCATTCGAGTACCTAACTAGCATATAAACTCTTATTATTACTATTACCATTGTATTTATACCTTACCAGTATGGCCACGGTATAGCAAAAAGTGCGACGCGTTAATAAAGCTAGATAGATGGCGCTAAAACGCACTGTAAAAATTAATTTAGCGTAAAAGTAAACCATATGCAGTGTCGTATTCCCCCACAGACGTCTCTGAAAGCAGCCTATTTAATCTTTTTCTTTTGCTACGTATGCTGTACGCTTTGTGTAAGTTTTAAAGTTCACCAAACGAATAACGAACAGGATGCCGGTGACGTATGCTACTGCTACATGAAAGTTGTATTGTAAGCATAAAGACGCTCTTTATCTTTATTATTAGTATTTTATTTCATTGTTACCTATACCTGTAATGTTAGGTTCCAGGTTTTATTGAAAGTTTTTAGCGGCAAGGATTTAATGGATTTAATTGAATGGTCAAAAATAAATTCCTGGGCATTTAAGGGATTAACCCGAAGTATTTGAAGATTTGTTGAACAAAAATAAAAATTAAATTTAGCAATTCGTCCCTGAAAAAGATAAAATACTCTAACCAGCGGAACAATTGAAAATTAAAGGTTTCTGCCTGTGTAGG